AAGAAATAAATCTGTCTGTGGAGAAAACCAAGTGTTTCATGGCTTCATTGAGGCAGAAATTTTAAGTTGCGTCAAATTAAATATAATTATCTTCAAGCACCAATGAACATTTTTGTTTGCTAATAGCATGTCATTTAGGCATATATGTTTTAAAGTTGCCATCCATGTAGAATTTCTGCTTTGGAGTCTGCTTAAATACATCTTTGTAGAAAGTGTAGACAGAAGGAGCCACATTAATTTTCATCTATCCAGGTGGAGATTGTCTGCATATACAGGAAGAAATATATGACCCTTGCACTTGCACCTCCTTTAGTCTTTGTGCTGGGAAGGCCCTCTTTACTGCCACTGGGAGTCTGTGAGCTGTTTTGTGCAATGTGTTTGTACATTAACACAGCCAGGCTGTTAATGTACAAACACATTAACAAACACATCAGGCTTCTACTACCCACTTTTTGTTAGCACCTTCACAAGGTGTATTGTTATACCTGTGTGAGAACCCATACTAAAGCATCTGCCTCTCTTCTTGGGAACATAGAAATGCATACATCAGCTTCTTCCAGTGCAGTAAAGGAGGACAGACACAGCTCACAGTGCTTTATACAATGGTTTTGAGGTAGTGCTCAAGCTCCTTAGATAATGTAAACTGCTCTCTGTATATGCTAACAATGTTCCTTCTGTTATGTCAGACTCTACACTAATATAAATACCTTTGGAATTTTTACTCCTAAACAAAGATCTTTGCAGAAATATTCCTTTTTCATTCTAGATTTTGGTGTGGGTTTTGTTTGTTTGTTTGTTTTCTTTTTTACATTAACAGTCCTTAGGTGTGTTTGGGATTTTACTGAAGCTGTTCTTTGCATGCTACTGGTGTTTTTGTATCACTGCAGCACAATATAGTGTTTTAATGTCACTTTCACTAGCCTGATATTGGCAACATCAAACTTAGAAAATTGTGGGCATGGTCTGTGCAAGCCAGATGTGGAGGACATCAGTGCCACGAGCACATTGTGCTTTGTGATTACAGATGCATATTGTAAGGGTACTCCAAAGGCTTGCTGGAGCTCTGAAAAGGCATAAATAACATAGGATTACCATATGAAACCAGTGACTTGACCTTGACTGAGTAGCTTGAAACCAACATCAGTATCTATTTCAAGAGCAGAAGTCCTTTTTCACATATTTCCAAAATCTGACATAGTTGAGACTATAATTACTTTGATGGTGTAAGAAATGATAAATTGACACTCCTGATTTTCATTTTTCCCATTTTCTGCTAATATTTGGTGATCCATTTTGTCTCTGCATGTCTTCATATGCCTCCCATATCATCACTAATCTGTGTAATTTACTGATACTAACAAACTGTGCAATCTCAGTACTTATATTTCATTCACAGTCAGAAGCAGTACAGGAATTTGTGTCGATCCTCCCACAGAATGGCTCACTATTAGTCACTATCTATTCTGGCTTATTGTCATTTCCACTTTTTAGTTTACTTCCCAGTTTTTCGTTTATTTTTAATCAGTGACAGAATTACCTTTTATATATTACCCATGGGTCTCTAAGTTTAATGGGATTTATATCTCAAAAGAAGACAACAACATTATCAGTAAAATTCTCATCTCTGCAGTTAAAATAATGTTTCTTTTCTTATTTCCCTGTTTCAAATAATACTCCTTTTGACTCCCCTACCATGTATTGAATACTAAAAAGCACTTATTAAACACTACATAATCTGAAATGAAAAATTTTATTTTTCTCTGGTCTTGGTTGGTTTTTTTCTTCAGTTTCTTTCTTGACCTCCTTTCTCTGCTCAAGCCCCAGTCTGAAAGAAGTAGAATACTGTGATTTCTGTCCATCTTTATTTGCTTACGCCCAGTGTGAAAGATTCATTACTTCAATGTAGGATCAATTCTGTGATGTCAGAAAAAAAAATAGTCAAGCCATTCCTGTCTTTGTCTGTTACTTATGTATATGTGATTCTTGGTATACATCATACAAAGTTGTTTAAAGGGAAATGCATTCTTATGTATTTTTTTAATTGGAAAAGATATTGCATATATCTAGGTTTATGTGATGAAAGAGCTGGTTCTGGGTGGGGTTTTTCTCCTCTGATTAAATATAATAAATATTTCAATTTTGGTTTGGGGTTTTTTTGTGGTTTTTTTTTTTGTTTTGGTTTGGTTTGTTTTTTTGTTGTTGTTCTTGGTTGGTTGGTTAGTTTTTTGTTTGTTTGCTGTTTGTTTTGGTTTTTTGCTTTTTGGGGTTTTTTTCTGGGCTTCTTGTGCTACATCCACTGCTGGCTTGTTCATTTTTTCTTTCCACTAGTTCAGTTCCCCAGGCATTCAGTGCTATGATTTTTCTGTCATCCAATCATTTACCACCTTCTAGTTCAGCTGTTCCTCACAGCTATAGAGGCTTTTGAGACACAGTGTTGAATTCTTTATTTTCTTCTCGAAACTCTAATTAGTAATCAGGATTGTGATGAGTAGGCTATATGAGATAGTAACTGCCTGGCTTAAAGATTTATGCAACAACACATGGGTACAATTTCAGTAAACAAGTGAATGATTGAGAATACCACATAAAACCTGAGCTGCAGCTAAGAAAAATGAATTGGCAAAAGAAAAAAAAAGGCTAAAAGCATAATTATGAAATTGGTGAATGATGTGTCACATTGATTGCTATAGTGTGCTAATGTTTGCTCCATTTGATATCCCAGATATTAAAAGCAGTACTTAAATGTGTCCTTGCCCAGGCTAACAGAAAGCTACAGAGAAGCTTTTTTCAAAAAATTTTTGAGGGTTTACTGCATTTCTGGAGGTTGTTTTTATTAGTCTATTATGTATTTTTATGTATTATTCTATTCCTTTTCAAGCATGTTTTGAAAAAGTTACTTGTGTGCAAGCTGAGAAATGACGGATATTTAATAGCATTCAAATAAGACATTACCCTCTGTGTTTCAAATTCTGCTTTGGAAGAGGCACATAAAATACTTTCAGAAACAAACAATTTTTTTATGTAACTTAGTCTTGTAAAATTAAAGTTCACAATATTCTGAAAACATATTGTTCCTGAGAGAGAAACATTTCACCACTGCTCTTAGAGTAGTAATTCACAGTGACAAAGGCAGCCAGTATATTTTGTTTGTTTAAAACTATACATTCTGGGGGAGGACGGAAATGCACAGAACACATTTTAAGTGCCTTGAAGTGTCTGTTGTACACAAGAGACTCAGAGACTAGAACGCATCTCCGAAGAGTAATCAGAATCTTTTTTCTTTCATAGTTCTCATCCAGAGTAGACCTTATAACCATGTACATCTACCCTTTTTTGAGTATATAACGTAATTAGAAAACAAAGACATAAGGTTGCATATTCAGAACTGATTGGACTGTATGATTCTAGATGTAAATATTTCAGATGTCCATTCTTAGATCTTCTTGTTCTTAGAGCATCCGTTTTCCTGAAAACAAATGACCATAATATGATCTATAACTGAACACACCAAAATGAAGGTACCCAAGACATGAAAATGGAAGGGTAAAACTTCAAAACACAGTTCATGTCCTCAATTTCCAATTCCATCTTCCTCTCTGTGTTCCCACATTTCTTATCGTCTGGTGAAATTCCTTTGGTGATGTCATGCTCAGGGAACAAGTCTCACTTATAAAAGGATTTTCTTTATTTTTCATAATTTAGCTGAACCAACACAAAACTGAATACTGTAAAGCAACAAAAATGATGCAACATCTTTCATTTTTTCTGTGTTTACTAGATAAGGCTACGAAGCTCCCTTTAAAATAAATCAAAACAGAGAGTTGGTAGAGTGAGGGATCTGGCTCTTGAGGTCTACATGTACAGTAAATCTATTTACCATCATTTATTGCATGACATTTTAAACCTGACATTGGTCATTTATAGTGCAGTCAGTCCATAACACTTTACAAGTGGCTGGGCTTTAATTGCTACTTTGATACTGGTCAAAATCCTATGATTAAATAAGAATTTTGTATATATTTATTTTGCTTGAAGACAAAATGATCCATAGTTCATATTTTCCTGCAACCTCTGCATTATATAAGCCTCAGTGTTTGAGTAGGCTTTAAAAAAATTCTTTAATCAACTTTTTGTTTTTGTATCTTTCATCTATGGTCACTTGAATAATCTCTATTTCTTTTTCTTTAGTAGAATAGAACTAGCATAACACTAAAAGTTAATTGGAGTATTAGGTAGTATACTTGGAACCGTAATACATTTGCCAGGAAGAAATTAAGCTCCCTTGTTGATTGTATCATACCAGTATGTACTAAACTTATATGCCAAAAGGTACAGTAAAAAGAACAAGGTTTTGTTTTTGTTTTATCATAATTTCTCCCTTGTCTATGCTGTCTTTGCTAAATTTTCACTAACCAATAATGCTGAAAAAGAGGGCTTTCTAACAATGAGGTAAAACACTGAAAACGGGATCAAGGAACAGGCTTTAAATTGTCCCTTACATAAAAGTAGGGAAGAGAAGAAGAGAAGGAAGAGGAGGAAGAGGATGAAGAGGAGGAAGGGAGGTAGGGGGGACAGGGGGACGGGGGGAAGGGAGGGACAGAGGGAGGGAGGAAGGAAGGAAGGGAGGAAGGGAGGAAGGGAGGAAGGGAGGAAGGAAGGAAGGAAGGAAGGAAGGAAGGAAGGAAGGAAGGAAGGAAGGAAGGAAGGAAGGAAGGAAGGAAGGAAGGAAGGAAGGAAGGAAGGAAGGAAGGAAGGAAGGAAGGAAGGAAGGAAGGAAGGAAGGAAGGAAGGAAGGAAGGAAGGAAGGAAGGAAGGAAGGAAGGAAGGAAGGAAGGAAGGAAGGAAGGAAGGAAGGAAGGAAGGAAGGAAGGAAGGAAGGAAGGAAGGAAGGAAAACCTTGCTATGAAGAGCAATGAGTAAAATATTTTACACTCTATTTTTATCAGTACATAAAGACAAAAAAAAATAAAATTAAAATAAAAAATGCCTTCCAACAGTGCAATGGTTGAATGCATTTATGTAATATAAACAACATTATTCTTTGCTTTTTCTACACAGTCCTCTCTGGTCATGCTTTACATCCAGAATGTCCCAATGGAAGAAAGCAAACGACACCGGTCACTTCAGAGACAACTGAAGTAATAAAACACAACTTAACTCTGAACCACTTTTCATGACTGTCAGAGTTATCACGTTAATTGTTAAATAGGATTTTCTACAAATATACAACATATAAAAACTGTTAAATATATAACTTTAGGCTTTTCAAAATACATTTAATGATCTCTTTCAAACAAGTGTTACTTTTGTTTTCTCTTTAATTTGCTTTCTGGTGCTAAATGGTGTATCAGATGAGACATAGGCCACAGATGACCAAACATGCTCTTTGCAAATACTGTATTATCCAACTTTAACTATCAAAAATGGAACTGTAGAAGAGGCATGTTTAACTGGTTAAAACGGAAAATGATTTTAGTACGAGAAAGTCAATCTAAGTACAGAGGAATAAAGGTGCTGTGTAGACAGTTTGTGTTCTTTTTGTCCAAGTTTTTCAAACATAGGTCATTTTCTCTCAGTGCTCCGTTATGTTCTCTTGAACATGGCATTTCAAGAGCAGGTCTCTGAGTTAGTTTTTACTTCAGCTTTCCATAAAGACTTCTGCTGGACAACATTTCAGCTTTGTGAAAGCTGGAATCATGTCTTTGTGGAGACCTTCCTTTTAATGACATAACTCTCTTAAGAGTAAGATTGTGTCCACTTTAAAATAGATTTTGCTCTTTGGTCTATTGTAAATACTGAAAGTATAAGAAAATAAAAGCAATTCAGACAGTTTAGGGCACAAGAAGAGTTTCTCTTTTGCACCTCAGTGTCCTCCCATAGGCAAAACAGTCTTCTCTAAGGCTGATTGGGATGATACTCTTCATTGTAGCAGACTCTTCAGATTGAAACATGTAGGTAACAGCAAGTCCAGTAGTGGTGTATAACGCAGATGAAACGTTAACCATGAACTTTTTTGTATTGCTAATGCCCAAGCATATCTCTTTTTCTATATTCCTTAGTCCAGTGATCCTTAGAATGGTAGAACAAACTTTAGCTCATAATGCAGAGGAATTATGCTGTCATTCATGAGATACAGAGAAACAGACAGTTGAGTTGATGACATATAACAGATGATGATCAACAGCAGTGAAACTTGACTAAGTTAAGTAGCTCACAGAGAGCCTAAACCACTCCTACGAGGATTCTGTGTTGCTGCATTTGTCAGGAGACCTGTAAATCAATAAGAACAAATGAGTCAGTGTTTTAATTTACAATTCTGCTTGTCTTTGCTGTCCATTATCATAAAATATACTGTACTGAGGTTTTTCAAGGAGACAGTTAATGAATTAGAAGATATTTATTTTGCACAGCATTTTCCCTGAGAAAAAACATATTAAAAAGCATATATTTTATTATAAAAACTTTATGCTTTAATAATTATTTCTAATAATATATAGCTTACAATAACTTCAATGCCATCTAATTTCTACTAAGTTTCATGCATATTCCTTCTCATAAAAATCACAGAATGTTCTTTTACACACATTAAAGTTACAAATAACAATGCCAAATATACATGGTGATTAAGATTACTTTTATTTTTTATGTTCAGGATGTAATGAAAAATGGACTTGAAAGCCATGACTGCGTATTAAAAATGCAAAGATGTTTGTACTGGAGGCTTTTCTGCAGTTAAGTTTCCAAAGAGCACTAGAGTGTGCCTAATTTAATCAATACTGCCCTCTAGCGATGCTATTACAAGTGCAAATTAATGTAAATAATGGCCATTAATAGTCAATTTAATCGGAAAATTGTTTTAGTTACGCACCAGAAAAAAAAAAAAAGAAAAAAAACTCACAAAACCCCACAGAATATAATAAAAATGGGAAGAGTACTGCCCAATGAACCTGTTGCAAAGAAAATTGAATGGAAGCAGCATTTCTAAAGAGAAGCAGAACCAAAGTTCACACTATTAAAGAAAACAAGAGTACTGGAAGACAGCACAAACACAAATGAGAAAATAATGAGTTATTTATACAACAAAGAGCTAGCTACTCATGCTCACCCAAAATATGAGTTTAGAAATGGTTCAAAAATTCCACAGATTCTGTATACACCAAAATGTTGTGGGGTGTATTAAGCAAGCATGATTGTTACAAAATGCTGTTTGCATTTTCAAACACTATCTTCTGCTTCGGCATTGTTCTGTCTCCAAGTAGTCAGAACTGTTATTACTGATGGAAATACCATGCAAAACTCCATAAAATACTGAACAGTGAATGTAAAAGAGCAAACAAATAAGAAAACACAATTCAATTGGTTTAAGCCATACATTGAATTTTTAACCTAATCTTCAGAGCAGTACATGAAAGAAAAATCTGCCTCCAAATCAATTTTGTGACAGCTTGAAACATATGGATCTCTATATATATGCATGTAGAAAGAAAGAAAGAGAGAGAAAGAGAGGCAGATAGACAGATGAATAATTTCCTTACAAGGCATAAAGTGTACGTCATAGATTTCTGCTTTTGTCCTCTCACCTTTTCCAGGAAAAAACACCCCGGAAATCTTGCAAACAGCCTTTCCTTTTCGGACTAGTGATCAGATCTCCAAACCACATGGCCTCAGACAGGCTGAAGGCAAAAAACCTGGTTGATTATTGTGATATATTCCCCTTCTTAAATATACTTTCAGCAAGAGAAATAATGTTTTGCTTCTATTAATTGCCCTCTTTCCTCTTTAAACTCTTTCTTGACCTTCCTGCTATGCCCCCTATTTTCCTTCCCATTAGAAAAGAACACAAATTTTAAGGTAGTAATACTTTTTAGGTTGCAAGACACAAAGCAAACAATTCATGATTTATTAGGTCTGAAAGTAAACTACTATGTGTTAAGAATTAGCTTGACATAGCTCCATCTTTCCTTTATAATGCCAGAATGGCCCACAGCTAAAAGCAACAGCGTAAACTGCTGATGGACTGTATGTTCAGTGTTTTCACAGTGTGCTTCTCTACCATACTGTTCAGGTACAACAACATACATTCAGAGATAACCTTCTGCTTTGTCACTCTATGGGGATAAAGGCCTCCTTCTTTCCTTCCTTCTATCCCTGTCTCCACCTTGAACACCCCTGCTGCATGAATATGGTATTAACACTTTAAAAGAAGACGAGAAGAGGGGAGAAAATTATGCACTTTAAAAATGCTGAGGAAGGGCATAGAGCAGGCTTGAAATGAAGTGATGACAGGAAGAGGAACAGATTAGAGAACAGGAAGTGAATTTACAACTTTGGACAATGACAGGAAAAAATGAAATGAAAAGGGGGAAATGCATATGTTAGCGAGGGAAGTATAAACATCACTTATTAATGAAGGCATGAAAAAGAAGTAAGATAAGTAATAAGATTAACAGATAAAAAGGAGAGAGAAGATAGGAGAGAGCATGATGAGTCCAGAGAAGAGGAAGAGAATGCACACCTACCCTCCCACCTCCTGTTTTTTCCCTTTCGTTCCTCATTACAGGTAAATTAATCACTCCCCAGAAAAACAGACAGATCAAATAAGAGAAAAGAGGGACTCCTAAAAAAAATAAAAAGGACTATTTTACTATTTATAGTAATAGTTCAATCCATAGAATAGAATCATAGAATCAGTTAGGTTGAAAAATACTTTTAAGACCATCAAGTCCACCCCAGCACTGCCAAGTCCACCACTAAACCATGCCCATAAGGACCACCACAAATATTTTAAATACTTCAGGGATGGTGATTCAATCACTTCCCTGTGTAGCCTTTTGCAAAGCTTGACAACCCTTTTAGTGAAGAAATTTTGACTAATATCCAATATAAGCCTCACCAGTGCAACTGGAGGGTAATATCACTCATTCTGTCACTTGTTACTTGTGAAAACAGACTGACCCCCTTCTGGCTACAACCTCCTTTCAGAGCAATAAGGTGTCTCTGGTCCTCCTTTTCTCCAGGCTAAACAACCTCAGCTCCCTCAGCCACTCCTCAAAAATCTTCTGCTCCAGACCTTTTCCCAGCTTTGTTGCCCTTCTTTGGATATGCTCCAGCACTTCAATGTCTTTCATTTAAGTGAGAGGCCCAAAACTGAACACAGGATTTGAGATGTGGCCTCACCAGTGCAAAGCACAGGGGGAAAATCACTACCCAGTCCTGCTGACTATTGTGGGTGCAACCAAGGATTCCATTGGCTTTTCTGGCTGCCTGGGCATAGCTGGCTTACGTTCAGCTACTTTTGATCAGCATTATCCAGTCCTTTTCTGCTGGGGTGCTTTACATCCACTCTTCCCCCGCCCTCTAGCACTGCATAGGGTTGTTGTGACCCAAGTGCAGGACTCACCATTTCACCTTGTAGAACCTCCTATACTTGTCCTCAACCCACCAATCCAGCCTGTCCAGAGCCCTCTGCAGAGTCCTTCTACCCTCCAGCAGATAAACACTTCCATCCAACTTGGTGTCATTTGTTAACTTGTCCAGATCATTGATTAAGATATTAACCAGAACTGGCTCCAATACTGAGCCCTGGGGAACACCACTAGTGACTGTCTGCTAGCCAGATTCAATTCTATTCACCACAACTCTCTGGGCTCAGCCACCCAGTATTTTTTTTTAATCCAGTGAAGAGTGCACCTATCAAAGCAGCCAATTTTGCCAAGAGAATTCTGTGAAAAACAGTGTTAAAGGCTTTACTAAAGTTCAGGTAGACAGCATCTTCAGCCTTGGCAGGTAGGCTCTGAGTAGGTAGCCTTGGCATTAGATGAGGTTGGTCCAGCAGGTGAATGCCTTTCATAAAGCCATGCTGGCTGGGCCTGATCCCCTGTGCATGTACCACAGGATGACACTCAAGATGATCTGCTCCACGACCTTCCCTGGCACCAAAGTCAGGCTGAAAGGCCTATAACCTACCCCATGTAAGCCCAAGGTGGCAGTTCTGCTGACCTCCCTCTTTACTTCTCTAAGAATTGAAAACGTGAATTGAAACACATGAAAGTACCACTTCCCTAACAGGCAAGTTTAAAGTAAAATGGTGCTCTTGATGGCTGTTTGGCATTAATTTTTAGAATATTAATTAGCTGATCAGCTTGCAATAATAACTGTAAATTAAATAACTACTTACATAAAACTGCTTCAAAGCCTGGGAAATTGGTTTTTACATTGATTTGGTTATTTTTTCTCTTCACTTAGGAAATTTGTAGCAGCATCAAATTAAAGAAAGGCTACATAACTATCACATAGAACAACATTTCTTCTGTTCATACACAGAACTCATGTCATTTCTAGGTACCAAAGCACAGGTCTGTTTGTCACTGACTTCAGTGAAGTCAGAATTTCTTCCCAGCTCTTCAGACAGCAGGTTCTGCTTCCTTTGGAAGGAGCCAAATATTTGGGCTGTTAGTTTGAGTTTCTTCAAATTTGAGGTACTGAGTGTGCATCTAGTACCAGAGATTAAAATACTACTGTATGTTTTCTGACTGCTTACATGGGGGAAGTCCAAGCCCCTGTGTGCTCCAAGAGAAAAACAAATTCCCTGAGTTCTCAAGAGGAAAACAAATTTTCCTGCTAATAATCCAAAACATAAGAAGCAATACAGTTCACATGACCATATGTATCTTACTGTTGTTCTTGGGTGGCTTGAATATGTCCCAAGAGTGTTTGGCTTATTAGAGCAATTATAACACATTCCACTTAATTGTCTTACTCTGGAGGAAGTAGAATAAAGGTCAGTCTAGCCCCAGTTGTGCCCTAATGGCACACAAAATATTTCATTTCTTCATTTTTATGGTCAAAACAGAGGAAAAAAAGTTATGCAAGTCACCTTGAGAAGATAAGAATATATGACACTTTGCTGACTTACACAGGCTTTCTATCAAAAGAAATCCCCATAAAAACCTCTCTTTTAGTGTAGTATATAGGATTTAACTGAGTGACAAAAATGTTCGAATTTCTCATCACAACCAGAAAGTTGAGCCAGGCTTACTGCAAGTGGCAAATATTTTCAGTTAGGATTGATTTTCAAGTATGTCTTGACCTTTCACTTTATATGGAATCCACATAAATACCAACAATTCCATGTCAAGCCTGATAAAACTTTAGCAGTTTCACCTGTTTTTCACTCTGTTTTTAGAATAAAGAGTTCACCCAAGTTCTGGTTTTTTGCTACAGTAGCCAAGTGCTCTTACATGACTACCTATCGCAGTCACATTGGCACTCTTTGATGACAATTCTATCATGTTTCCAGAACTGATTTTTGGAAATTATCTGGATACCTACAAAGTAATTGGTCAAAGTAATTGGTCAGTGTTGCTTAAGAGCTGAAATACTTGTCTAAATTGTGTGTTTTGCACTTTCAACTACAGTCTTCTCCCTCTGTGAGTCTTAGGATTCTGTGCAGCATGAGTGCAAACAACTTTTTTTTGTTTGGGTTCTTTTTACCTAAGAAAATTCACAGAGATGAATGCTGGTTGAACCAGCCTCTGACTCACAAATCTACTCATAATAGAAACAGTTCCAAACCTTTTACCAACTGACTGCAAGTCAGATAAACAGCATGTCTTTCCCCTCTGCTTCTGTGGCTCTCAGTTCTAGGTCCCTAAACAACTAAGCATATATGATGCAGAAAGAAAGATGTAAAAGCATTAAAATGCCCTAGGAAAACCTTACACTGCCTTGCAAGATACCTCCGGCTTTATGGGAATAAAAATGTAAATTTCTGGTGATGATCCAAGGAGCAGCAATGATCTGTTTCATTCATGAGAACTCCCATAGTCCCTTCTGAAAATTTATTTTGTTTCCCTCCCTTCGTCTCCTTTTCTCCACGCTGTTCATATATGCAAACTGAATTGCTTAGTCTTCAGAAAAAAAAGACAAGTTAATCTAACTCTAAAGTATCTGAAGCTATTAGGAATAAGAAAAAGAAACATGAAAGCTATCCTACTTAATGCTGTATTCTGTCTCACTGAGCTAGCCACAGGAAGAGACATTTCAGAGTTCAAACCACAGTACCTACAGAATTAGGAGTTATAAGATTGAACAAATTTAGTGTCTGTGCTTCTGGATGAATATTTATAAAAAGAAGTCTAATGTATCAGGTAGTTTATATGCAGGTATATTTTCCTGTGCTCACTCCAACAAAGTAGCATTCCTGAGTTACAGATAGCAGAATCCCATTATCAGTGCCCTTCAAAAAGAAGATGCCTTTTAAAACACATTGTATGTTTCTTTTCACTTGCACTATTCAGCCTGACACAGAAAGAAGTGTTTATTCCCAATCTGAGACTCTTTGCATATTTTTTCCCCAATAACTATTTTAATACCAGTCTGTCTCAAAAAAACCCCAAAAAGTCTCATTTCCCCTGAAATAACACTTCTAGTCCTATCTTCTCAACTTCCCCTGACCATCTGTCAGGACTATCATCATGATCATTAATTTCCTTTTCTGTTAGAACCCTTTTTGTCTCATATTACCTTTTTTTAACTTACAAGATCTTGGAATACACTGGGTCATATCGTACACTCCTTCTGAATTGCCTATTACTTCATAAGCAATAGCAGTGAAGGAAGTGGGATTGCTGTTATAATTAGATAATCCTTACAATGACTGAAAATGTTAGAA